GAGAGTTGCAAATGGAACTGAACAAAGTGCACTGATCAATGAACATCTCCACTTTGGCCTTGTGATGCAGGCAAGGTCATTGATGAAGCAGCTGAAGATGGTTGTGCTTAAGACATTTTCCTGAAGATCTTGTGGGCTAGGAGGCCTGTGTTCAAGTCCTAGAGGTGTGTACCTCTGAACCGGTTGATTAGAGAATATCCATCCTGAGGAACCTGGGCCTCTTGTGGTGCAGTAGTACTGTTCCTACCCCTCAGCCAGGAGATCTAGGTTCATATCTACCTGCTCCAGAAGTAAGTAATAATATCTCTGAACAGGTTGATTAGGAAAATATGTAGACTAAAGCACTCTTGTGGCAATCTTTTGGGACTGAGATGATGAGTATCCAATAACAATAGATATTTTCTTTGCACTGGGTATGACAAAAACCACTGGAGAGTTTATCCCTGATTCTCAATGCCTTCAATTTTGTTCAGATTCCTTGATGTACCACTTAGTCAAATGCTGCTTTGACATTAAAGGCAATCATTCTCATGTCACATCTGGAACTTGGTTCTTTTATTAGTGTATATACCAAGCCTCTCATATGGTATAGAGCTGAATTGTCTGGTAGAACACAAACTGAGCCTTGCTGAGCAGATTACTAGAGAGTAACTTTCAGGATTTTGACCTAGCAGTGGTGAAGCAATGACAATATATTTGCAATTCAGCTTGATATATGATCAGGGGAACTGTCAGATGGTGCTGTTCCCAGATAAATCCTGTCTTTGTTCTGCTTGGTAATGTCAGTTATGAGTCTTGGCAGGTCTCAGCAAGTTGTTGCAATGCATTTGTATATGGTACAGATTATTCCCACTGTGAAGGGAGTGAATTTTTACTGTGGTAGATGGAGTACAAAGAGACTGCTTTGTTTAATTCTGCTTCTCTATCTTGTCGTCTTAAGGTCTTGGAATAGTGTTAAATTTCTGCTTATTTTTGGTGGTAGGTGTCCAGGTCAGTGAGGTTATTGCAGCACAAGCTTGACTTATGCCTTGTAGATGATGCAAAGACTCACAGAATTTTCAACTCTGACGCAAGCAACTAAGTTCCTATTAAGTTCCTGGTTGACAATGACCCTCAGGATGCTAGTGGTGAATGATTCAGAGGTAGTAATGCCATTCAATATAAAGTGCAGGTGGTTTGACCCTCCCTTGTTGGCGATGATCATGGCCTAACATTTGTGTTGTACAAATATCACTCGCATCTTGTCAGCCCAAGCTTGAAAGTTGTCCAGATCTTGTTACATGTGGGCTTGCACTGCTTCAGTATCTGGCAGATTGTGAATTATGTTGAACACTCTGTAATCATATGTGATCATCTCCATTTCCGATCTTCTGATAGAGGGAAGGTCATTGATGAACCAGCTGAAGATTGCATCTTGGACATTACCTTGAGGAACTCCTACAATGCTACACTGAGACTGAGATAATTGGCCTCCAACAATCACACATATTCCTATTGTTCTATTTTAACTTTAACCAGTAGAAAGTTGCCACCTTATTCTAAATTCGGCTCCAATTTTATGAGCGCTTTGTCAAGAGCATTTGCTCTCACCTCACTGCTAGAATTAAGCTCTTTTGCCTTTCTTGGACCAAGGTATAATAAGATCTGGACCTGTGATTCCAGGAGCACTCAAAATGACCAGTGGTGAGTTGACTATTGGGAAGTAAGTGCCACTTGATGACACTGTTGATGATAGGTTTCATCACTTTGTGAATGACTGAGAGTGGACACCCAGGATGGTAAGGAACCAGATTGGACTTGCCCAGCATTTAGGTGGCAAGACATATCTGGGCAATCTTCCACATGGTCAGTACATTGAAACTGTATTGGAGCAACTTATTTAAAGATGCAGTTATTTCTGGAGCTCAAATCTTTAATGCTGCAGCTGAAATGCTGTTAGAACCCATAGCGTTTGATCAAGCGTATGTGTTTTAAGGGAGTCTGGTCAAAGGGTTCAGAGGAAGAATTCAAGAAAGTGAGGCCTAGATGTCTGAAGGAATGGATAACATTCAGAGATTGAAGAGTTGATGTTGCATAAGAAATTGTAGCAAGGTGACTAGAGTTTGGAGAATTCTACAGCTTGGGAAGGTTACACAATCAAGGAAGAGTAAACCAAAGATTTACTGTCAGGGATGAGAGCTTAAAATTAAGGGCATCAGAGCCTGGGAGGTAATGTAGGTCAGTGATGACAGGTGAAGATTGGTGTAAAGAGAAAGGGAATGTTGGTATGTGATTGTCTTTGAGCACAGTTTAGATCAGCTTAACTTTACAAAGGATAAGAACACAGAACAGGAATAGACCATTTAGCCCCTTGATCTTGTTCTGCCATTTATTTAATATTAGACTTGTGACCTATCTCTAGTGACCTGCCTTTCCCTTTGCCATATGATATTAGGCAGAACTTTATTATAATGTCATGGGAACAGGAGTAAATCATTTAGTACTGCCCCACCATTCACTGATATCATGACAGATCTGCAACCTAACTCCACAAACCTGCCTTTCTCCATATCATCATCTCTTTAGCTCACAAAATCTATCACTCTGTTTTAAAATTAACAACTGATTTAGCATCAATTGCCATTTATAGAACTGACTTCAAAATTTCTACCATCTTTGTATGAATAAATGTTTCATACTTGCATTCCTGCAATCGCTCCTTAGTCTTCTAAATTGCAGGGAGTTGTTTAATCTTTCTTTGCAGTTTAACCCTTGGAGTTCAGATATTGTTCTGGTAAAGCTATTGATGAAATCTTAAAATTATTTGTGAAATATGGGTTTGGTGAGGTGATTCTTGTCCCGAGGCTGAGAGTTGCCTTATTGTATCATTCCATACTCGCCCCACGAATTGCTGTTGCCACCCATGGCACGTATAATGTCCAATTTCTGGCCCATTTTCCCACACGGCATTCCCAGGAGATATCCGCCATTCATGGGATACCCAACCTAAGGCCAGCATCCCCTGCATTGATGCTACCTTTGAAAACCTGCTGCATGAAGGATTGCTAGCATCGAACAGCTGCTCTGCTCATTGTTGGACACTGAGGAGAGATGGTTCAGAGAGGAACTTTTCCAAGAGGGAGCTAGGGGCTGCAGTTGAAAGGATGGGACAGCGGACGGCATGCCTTCACATCTCAAGGGCGCAGAGAATGGACTGCTGTGCCAAATGAAGGTTAGTGGCCAGCATAAGTGTCATTCTCTTGTCTCCGCCATTTTGCACTCACTGTATCTCTGTTACTGTGCCTACCTTCCACCAAGGCTTATGCTGCGACATCCCCCTCTGTTTCATTCAATATATTCCCTCATTTACTTTAGCTGGCCCCCATCCCTCCACATCACTAATTCCATAGTGTCTCCGCACACCTTCAGAACACTTCAATATGCATCAGCATGAACAGCCATGCCATCCACCTGGGCAGCTTTGCCACCGGGGACAGGTTGGTGGCTGCCATGGAGAGAGAGGCCCAGTACCCTCATGGGCTGCTGGAGTGTCACAAATGCCTGTACTCCATCACCCCAGGCGTTAGTCCTATGGCACAGTGTGATTGGGGCAGGGACTGTGTAGCCCAGCCCAGGTGCTCTGTCCTCACAACACATTGCAGAGGTCTTCAGGCCTGGCCTGCTTGCCTCTGCCCAACCCTTGAAAGTTCAGGCTGAGAACGGTCAATATGCCTGCAGACCTAAATACCCCTCCCTTTCCCGACCAAACCTCCAGGGCCAATGGGCTCTGCTGTGGAGAAGGTTCACTCCACCCCATCTGCGGATTATGGGAGCTCAGTGCGTCACAGTGAAAGGGACATGAATATAAAGTTATAGTGAGGGCACAGCTGATAGCCACTCAAAAATATTTGATTTCACTGTTCACATGGTTGTTTCTGTCTCTGCGTAGGGCCTAGATGCTTCATTGCACGCTTCAGGGTCACTCCTTGGGCAATAACAAGCCACAATGGTTGGGGGTCTTCAAAAGGTACCAATTACATCATGGGGAAACGAGGGTAGCAACGTGTTTGCATCACATTGACTGAGTCTGACACGTTAGGCCATTCCTTCAACATTGCCTACTGTTCAGTTGGCTGTCTGCATACGAGTGTATATATCAAGCAGCTCCCCAGCAGAGATGATGCCAGAGGAGTGCAGCACACAGAGAAGATCAATGTTGAAGGATGATTAGACACCCTGCATGCCTCTGTCACCAATATATCATGTGCGATTGGCCTATTGTCTTCCCCTGTGAACACCCAGTGCCCGGTTGAAGATGCAGCCCCTACCATCACATGTCAACTCACTTGCCCTACCCCATTGCAAGTGCATTCACGGGACCATCCTCCTCAACACCGCTCTATATGCTTCACAATTGGAATGTCAGCAATCGATTCTCTTGCCACCGGCTTTCAGCCTCAGCATTAACGTCACTGAGACAGGTGAAGGACTCTCTTTTTCAACCTCCCCCCTCACCTATGGCAAAGTGACTCTCAGGTCAAACCACCCGCAGTCATCTCTGTCTAACAGGCAAACAGCCCTCTGGGATTAGTGCAGTTTACTTTTTCCAAAGTTGCACTGGCCCTGTTGAGTAATTTTTGTTTATTGTTATTTGTTTACTTTGTCAAATGGGTGATTTGGTGGTGGTTTAATTTTTAAAAAATGGGTTGTGTAGTTTTGCATAAACCATTTGAATGAAAAACAGCTTTTAAACCAGTACTGATTTGAATAAACTAAGTGATGAATAGGACTGGTCACCCTCCAACATTCTGAACTTTACCATTTTCCTCACAGCACTGTAACCTTAAAACACAGCAAGATCAGTGACATTCTGATGGATCTCCATTGCTTTTGGAACAGAGTGTTAGAATGCTAAAATATTTTAAGGTGACTATCACATGTATATTCCAGTTAATCAGAGAGAGAAGAACATGTTTAACCGAAGACAGATTATGATAATTTTAGCTGCACTAGAAATTTACTTGAAGGTATGAGCTGAACGAAGAAAAGGACAACTCCGCCAAGAAAAAATGCGCCTGAAAGGCTGAACCTTCGGGAAAACCTCTGGAGGAAAAGCCAAGATGCTACATAGGCCGGAACTTCGATGACAGCCATGAAGAAACAGTTCAAATAGTCATCACCATGGAGATTGGGCGTGCTCAAAGACAGGCCAAAGTATCCAACTGCCAGAATCATCCTGCCAAAAAAATGGTAAAGACTGCTTATAAACAATTTGTAAGAACTTTTCTCTTCCATTTGATATTTTCCATTTTGATGTTACTCTGATCTTCTTTCTACCTCCAATAGTGCTCTCTATCATTTATCATTTCCCATCAAGGATGCAAACAGCAGAGGCAGCACATCTGCTCTCTATGCTCTGTGTTCATGCCAAGCATTATAAGGCAGACAAGAACATTCCCTGTAGATGACTATCCTGCAAAATTTGCAATGCACTTGCATCCCTTCACTTGTCCAACCATTCTGCATTGAGCAACAGCAATATCTCTGTTTGAATTGAATGATTCCTTTCCGATTTTTATCTTTACATTTAGCTAAAGAATAATACAACATTGGGTGCCAATGATCCAGCCAGTTGCTAAGAGACTCAGCAAGCAAGTTCTGTCTTTCCTGCCCTCGGTATTATAAATTTTTACTTCAATTTACTGAAACAATTCCATCAGTAGACAGTCTGTTACAATTTTATTTAGGTGTTATGTGGCTTGATATACTACATTGATTGTTTCACTTTTCAGTTTAAATATCTTAAATTTATCCCTATTCTGTGCCACTGTCTTATATTGCATTGACACTCTTTATGTAGCATTGCATATTTCAATATTTACAGATATTTACAAAATGAAGGAAGAATAAACAATCCATTTGTTTAATTAAGAAGAGAACATTGAGAACTGAACACTGCAGACAGTGTGAGATCAGAGAAAGCTATTCCCTTGTGTGGCAATTCTATCTCCATGGTAGATTGTATGTGAGGATGCCGATAATGGACTGGGTAGACAATGTCAGAAGTCACATGATACCAGGTGATAGTCCAACAGGTTTACTTACAATCACAAGCTTTCACAGCACTGCTCCGAGTAAATTGTAGGCTGTGGGGGTAGGCAGGCAAGGGTGGCGAGGTCTGAAAGGTGGGGACAGACAGTATTAGGTATCTTGATGTAGAGGCAGGGTTGGGGTCATTTGGGCCGGGGGAGGGCAAATGTAAGAGGGATTTGTTGAATAGTACCCTATCTGGAATGGGGGCCTTCAGGGAGGTCCCCTCTTCCCTTGGCTGAAGCCTCAGCAGGGTAACCAGCAAAGGCTTCTCTTTTAATTCTTGAAATCCTCCCACTAGCGCCACATTCGAGGCTCGACATATTTTATATTTTTATATATAATAGATATATATTATATATATAGTGTGTGGTGCTACCACTGTCCTAAAAGGCACAGATTTCAAATGGATCCAGCAACTCAAAACTGAGCATTCAGAAGGCTTGAAAAGCTATCAGCTGCAGGAGAACTGCACCCAAAAACAATTTGCACCACACAAGCAAAACAATAGAAGAAGCATGGGCTAAGTCATCCCACAACTAACGGGTCAGATCTAAGCTCAGCAGTCCTGCCACATTCAATTGTGAATGGTGGTGGATGATTAAACAACTAATAGGAAGTGGAGGCTTCACATTTATCCCTATCCTCAACAATGAGGAGGCTCAGCACATCAGGGCAAAAGATAAGGCATTTGGTAAGGTATTTGCATCCATCTTCAGCCAACATGTTGAGTAAATGATCTATCTTGCTTTCAACTTGAGGTCCCTAGCACCACAAATATCTGAATTCAAACAAATCAATTCACTTGAAATCATATCAATATATGATTGAAGGCACTGGATACTGTAAAGGTTATGGGCCCTGACAACATTCCAGCAATAGAATGGAAGACTTGTGCTGCAGGCTTAGCCACATTCCTAGCCAAGCTATTCTAGTACCACTGCAACACTTGCATCTGCCCAGCAATGTTGAAAATTGTCAGGTACGTACCAGGCACAAGAAGCAGGACAAAGCCAACCCAGCCAATAACCATCCAATCAGGCTATTCTTGATGGTAGAGGCCATCAACAGTGCTATCAAATGACAATTGCATAGAAATAACCTGCTCACTGATGGTCATTTTGGATTTTGCAAGGGCCACTCAGCTCTTGACTTCATTTCAGTCTTGGTTCAAACGTTCCATAAGTGCTGTGATTCAAGAAGGCAGTTCACCACCAGTTTCTCCAGAGTATTTGGGATAGGCAGTGAATATTGGCCTAGCAAGCAACATCCACACACTGTGTACAATTTTAAAAGAAATACATAATCATAGAACTGTTAAAGTACAGAAGAGACCTTTCAGCATGATTTCACTGGCTATATGAATGAGCATCATGATGCAGCACCATTCTCCTGCCCTTTCACCATAACCCTACAATTATCAATATACCCTCTTCAATGTCTTACCTGAACATATCTCCTCCTAGGCATTGCATTCCAGATTCAAAGTGCTTGCTATGTCAAAGATTTTTTTTCTCACATCCTATTAACTTCTTTTGCAAATCACTTTCAGTTGGAGTTTCTCATTGATGCATTTACGAGTGGAAACAGTTTCTCCCGAATACTCTGTCAAGCCTTCTTACTGAAGATTCAATTTCAATTGAATCTTGTTTTAGCTTTCTCCTCTCCCAAATTCAGTCCCAAATTCTCCATTCTATCTTCAAAACTATAAGACCATAAGATTTAGGGGCAGAATTAGGCCTTTCAGCCCATCCGTTCTGCTCCACCATTCGGTCATGGCTGATATGTTTTCAACCCCATTCTCTTGCTTTCTCCCCATGATCCTTGATCCCCTTTTTAATCAGGAACCTATCTATATCTGTCTTAAATACACTCAATGGCTTCTCTCCACGGCATTCTGTGGCAAAGAATTCCACAGGTTAGCCATGCTCTGTCTGAAGAAATTCCTCTTCATCTCTGTTATAAAGGGTTGTTCCTTCATTTTAAGTCTATGTCCTTGGATCTGAGTCTCTCCTGCTGGTGGAAAGATATTTGCCATGTTCGCTCCAGCCAGGCCTCTCAGTATTCTGTAAGTTCCAATCCCCCTTCATCCTTCTAAACTGAATCAAGCACAGACCCAGAATCCTCAAACACTCCATATATGACAAGCCCTTCACTCCTACGGTCACTCTTCGAAATCTCCTCTAGGCATGCTCCAATGCCAGCACTTCCTTCTTTAGATGCGGGGCCCAACCTGCTCACAATATTACAAAAGCGGTCTGACCAGAGCCTTGTACAGCCTCAGCACTACATCTCAGCTCTTGTATTCTAGCCCTCTTGCTAATGTTGCATTTGTCTTCCTAACTGCCAACTCAGCCTGCATGTTAAGAACTTTAAGAGAATCCTCAACTCGGACTCCAAAGTTCCTTTGTGCTTCAGAATTCCAACACCTTTCCCCATTTAGAAAATATTCTGCGCCTCTAATTTTCTTCCCAAAGTGCATAACTCTGAAGTTCCCACATTATATCCATCTGCCAGTTCTTTGCCCACTGTCCTAGCCTGTCCTTCTGCAGCCTCCTTCTTCCTCAACACTACTTGTCCCTTCACTTGTTCTGTCTTCTGCAACATAGCAACAATGCTCTCAATTCCTTTGTCCAGATTACTAATGTATAACATGAATAGATATGATTCCAACACTGACCCCTGAGGAAGCCCACTAGTCACTGGCTGCCATCCTGAAAAAAAGCCCTTTATCATCAGTGTCTGCCTTCTCCCAGTCAGCCAATCCTCTATCCATGCCAGTATCTTATCCCTAACATCATGGCCTCTTATGTTCTTTAGCAGCATCCTGTGCAGCACCTTGTCAATGACCTTCAGGAAATCCAATAGATCATGTTCACTGGCACTCCTTTGTGTAACTTGTTTATTACCTTTCAAAGACTTCTAACAGATTTGCCAGGCCTCTCCTTGACAAAGCCCTATTTTAATATGTACTTTCAAGTACTCCACAATCTCATCCTTAATAATGGACTCTAAAATCTTAACAATAGCAAGGTAACCGGCTGAGAGTTTCCCGTCTTCTGCCTTCCTCTCTTCTTAAACAGAGGTGTCACATTAGCCATTTTCCAATGCTGGCTCAGTGATACCTGAAAGACCACCACCAATGTCTCTACAATCTCCTCAGCTACCTTCTTCAGAACTCTGGGGTATCATCCATCTGGTCTGAGTAATTTATCCACCTTCAGACTTTTCAGCTTCCTCAGCACCTTCTCCTTGGTGATGGTCACTATACTTACCTCTGCCCCCTGACACTCTTGACGCTCTTGTATGCTGCTGGTGTCTTCCACTGTGAAAACTGAAGAAAGTACCTATTCAGTTCCTCCACCATTTCTTTGTTCCCCATTACTACACATTTTCCAATGTCCAGTGTCCACTCTTGTCTCTCTCTTTTAGAATCTAAAAAAAAGCCTCTGGCAATCTTCTTTTATATTACTATGTAGCTTACTCAAATATTTCAACTTCACAGAGCGAATTCTGTCATAGTATGGCCACTGCCCACTAAGGGTTTCTTCACTTTAAACTCCCTAATCCAGTCTGCCTCATTACACATCACCAAATGTATAATTACCTGATCCCTAGTACCCAAGCTGCTCCAAAAAAAATCTTGTAGACTTTCCTTGAGATCCGCTACCAACCTAATTTTACCTGTCCACCCATATATTGAAGTGCCCTATGATTTTTGTATTAGTGCCTTTCTTATGTGCCTTTTCTAATTCCTGATTTAGTTTCTTCCCCACACCCTGACTACTGCTAGGGGTCCCTGTACTCAACTCCCATCAGCATCCTTTTTCCTTTGCAGTTTCTCAACTCTACGCACATAGACTGTATACCTTCTGACTCTATCAATTCTTGCTGTTTAATTTCATTTAATCAATTTAATTTCATTTCTTATCAACAAGGCAACCCCGCCACCTCTGCCCATCTGCCTATCCTTGGATATTTAGTTCCCAGGCCTGATCTCCTTGCAGCTACGTCTCTGCATCATATCTGCTAATTTCAATCTCATTTACCTTGTTTCATATACTGTGTGCATGTAAGTATGACACCTTCAGTCCTGTCAAATAGGATTTCCCTTTCACATAACCATATTCACTCTGCTTCCTTATATAATGATTTTCTAAAGCCCCTGCTACTATTGCGTTCATAACATGTTCCACATTTCCCAAAGACAGATGCCAGGTTAACTGGCCTATAGTTTCTATCTTTCTGCCTTTTACTTTTCTTGAACAGTACTGTTGTTTTTGAGATTTTCCAATCCGGTGGAACCTTTCCAGAATCGAAGGAATTTTGGAAGTTTACAACAAATACAAATAATTTTCCTGGTACTTCTTCCAGCAAGACATTGATTGTTTAAAACTCCTCCTCAAAATGAGTGACCTCCTCTGAGGTACCTTGTTCCTCCTCCAACACAGGTAGTGTAGGAGCTGAGAGACATGACAAAGTGAGAATGTCTTAAGATTTCATAGTGCAAATTGTCATATTTCAGTGGCTGCTGACATCAAACTTGAGTGAGTGCTGTACACAGTGCAACTCTGTGATATTTTGTTCTGTCATCTGGTAATTGGGAGGCCTCCATTTCTCCATCTCTAATGGCCAAGCCTGATTTAAAAATCCAGTTTGCCATCCTTTGCAGCGGTGTCAATGAAAAGAGCTGTTCTGTGGTTTCTTTCCCTGCAAGGGCCGAAGGGAAAGATCTGTACGTGTATGCTGCTGCAAATTTTGAGAAGATTGAAGGATAACAATTGTAGAGGGTCACAGAGTGAGATGGCTGTGACACTGCAATAAGATAACCCTTCATGTCAGTGATAATCAGACGGTAATGAGTGCATAGATCTGAGGTGATTTGCTGGAGAAAGCTAGGGAAGGCAGAGTGAGGGGCTTTGTACTCGAATATGTCACACCAGTCACCTTTTCTGATCTGATACAGTCAAGAAACTTCTTGTGGCTTTAAATCTGGGAGTGAGGCACCATACCTCTGTGATGTCGTCCGCCACTTCCAACAAGCCTGCTTGTTTCCTGAGGTTTGACCCTCCCGTCCATGGGGGACAGAATCCTCCACTTGGCCCTTCCACTCCATTGCATCTCCTCCAATGATAGTGCACACATCAGAGATGCACAGTGCAGTTCATATTAACTTATATTCATGAAGATCTGGGTTTTGTTGTAAAACAAATGTTCTACAATGTTTCAGTTCCAACATTTGCAGGATTCTTTAAATACTGGAACTGAAATAGACTGACGCGGGTCATCAGTATTTTTATACAGCCTGTTGTAATTGGTTCAGAAACTCAGAAGATGGATCAAAATACCGTGGCTGAAGAAATGCATTGCTGAAATCCAAATTTCCTGAGGCACTGCCAGCACCCCTTCTACAAGCAATATGGAAGTTAACATTCACCATAGAGTAAGAGTCAGGGGGTTATGCTTAATCAACACACAATACTTCTTTAGCCTCAGTTAGTTTTACTTCCTATTCTTTTGTGTCCATACTACAGGATGCACATGAATGCTCTGCAGAGGATACAGAAATGATTTTCTAGATGTTTCCACAGTTGAAGGATTACAGTTACTTAGATAAATTGCAGAAGCAGTGTCTGTTCTTAGGGCAGAGGAGATTGAGAAGATATTTGATCGACATATTTAATATCCTGAAGTGTTAGATAGGCTACAAAAAGGAAAGCAGTTTCCAATGGCTGAACTGTCAAGAAGACAGCAATGGTGTAAGGTGTCTGGCAGAAAATGAGTGGTGAAAGGAGAGGAAAAGAATCTTTATGCAATCAGGATTTCAACTGCACTACATGATCGCGTGGCACATATGGAATCAATGTACATTTCCACGACATAACACAACATACATGAAATTAACTGGATTGTTTTTCCAAAGACCCAGTGCAGATTCAATAAACAAAATGCTCTTCTTCATTGCTGTACTAGTCTATGATTCTACTAAATACTCACCACACAAGAAGGTTTATGATTGTGATGATTCGAATATTATAGGTTTTAACCAAGTGAATAATTGCATGAGACAGATTACATTTAGACTTCATATCTTCAAGCTGGAAGGAAAACAGATAACATTCAGTATTATTGCTCATTATTAGAAAATGTTAATGTTGTTATCTCATATTCATAGTTCATTCTAGCCAGGGATGCTCCAGAAAGTTATATTGCACTATTTTCAAAGAAGTTATCACATTTGCAATTTCTTTTCTTCTCCTTCAACTGTCACCTATTGTAGTGGCTCTGCATCACATGTAGATGAGGAAAGTGGGCCTCAATAGAAAGGTCTTTATAATAAAGCCCTTTATTTTAAATATCAAGCTGTGTCACAGTTCATGCTACTGCTCACACAAACATTATTCACATCATATCACTCTCAGTCCATGTCTGAAGAGATAAAATCATTTTGTCAGTTAAGGGTACTCTTTGCAAAATATTTATTCTGAAAAGAAATTCTAGTGAACTTATATATTATGGGAAAAGGGTACTCTTTGCAAAATATTTAAACTGAAAATAAATTGTAGGGAGTTTATGTATTAAAAATCTTCCTTCAATCTCCTTCAAAGCTATGTATGTGGAGCGTTATGGGCAGCACTTAACATTTTGAGTATTTTCTGCACAATATATTCTTCTAATTGTTCAATGTGCTTTATTGTGATAATATCTTTCTGCAGCTGCTTACCCAGAATTGTAAAACAGACAGTAGTGCATCAACAACATAATGGTAGTCGGTAAATGCATATGGTAAGAACGATAATGAAGTTGCTGATTTGTTGTGGCAGCAACTTAATGGTGCTGTCTTTCTTCTAGTCTATTCTATGCATCAAACAGAATGAAAATCAAGTTCATGGCAGGATGGGTTCTGGCCCCCGGGCCATAGGTTGGACAAACCTGATTTAGACCATGGTGTAAAAATGAATAATCTGGTGAAGCAGCCTGTACAGCCAATGTTCAACAAGAAGGAAGTGAACCAACAGAACTGCAAAGAGGTTCCGTCCCTAACTGTAGGCTATTTCCCTCCTGCATTTAGTGCTGATGGGCTCACTATTAGCAGCAAATGTGGTAGTAAAATACTCTGTGATTGGAAGAGTAGAAAACAGTGTTCTGCAGTTTTATAGAAAACAGTCTGAGTTCTGAGCACTGCTGGCAATGACAGTAAGCATGCAGTGGGTGCGGAGGGAGTAGGGAGGGACTGCATTCCCAAGCAGGTGGCACTCTGTGTTGCCAAGAGCTGGTAATAGGAAATCAAGGCTCTCCCCAGTCAATCTGGTGGACTGGGCTGTGAGCAAGTGAGTGAGTCAAGTAGAGATGGAAGGGAGATAGTGAGTGAGTTTTGCTTGCAGGAAGTGTACAAGGGAGTGAGGATCTGACAGCATGTAAATGAGTATGTGTGTGAGAGAGAGAGCCCTGAGACTGCAAGTGAGCCTGACACACAGCCTTCCTACTTTCTCATCCTTCTCCCAAAATTTGTCCACAATCTGGGCTGGGAGAAGAAGCCCAGACTGAAACACAACTCACTTCTGATTTCTACTGTTGTATAAATTCTACCAAGGTCACCTGGTAGTGAATGCCACAAGAAGCAAATGAAGAGTTGGTGTTAGTTAACCCAATGCCTTGCCTAGCCCCAGTCCCCTCCCCGTTCCCTTGTGAGCAGGATTTACGCCGAGTCTCTCTGTCTCTCTCTCTCTCTCTCCCCCTACCTCTGCAAAATAGTTTTCTCAGTTAGCACTGCTATTTAGCATTTCTTAAAGGTAACCTTTATTAATTATTAATGGTAATGGATGTTTGAACAAAATTTCATAAAGAAGCACCTTTAGGAAAAATAGCTGCAAACGTGGCACCAGTAAGGTTCAATTTTTTACAATATATGAATTACTCAAAGAAACAAAAATATATCAATGTTGAAATCTTGTGTTGTAAGTGTTCAAAGAAATGAACAAAAACAAAGTTGCTGGAAAAGCTCAGCAGGTCTGGCAGCATCTGTGAAGGAAAAAACAGAGTTTACGTTTCGGGTCCGGTGACCCTTCTTCAGAACTGTTGGTCGCTGGGAAAACGTCAGTTTAAATGCAGAAAAAAGGGAGGGAGATGGGGTAGGGAGTAAACGATAGGATAGAACCTAAAGAGAGAGAAGAGTAGTTGGATAGACAAAGAGTTGATAACGATCAGGCTGGAAGGGTGAATAGTTGTTAATGGGGACTATTATGGTGAAACACACATGACAAGTGAGTAACAGTAGATTGGAAATAACGACAACAGTGGATCATTCCCAGTCAGAGGGCACAAGATCCGGCAAACTTTGTTGAACTGGATGTAGATATCGAGACACAGGCTGACTTCAATGTAAAAGATATTCTGGAGCAACAGAAGCAAATGTATGAGGTTCCATCAGCATTTTCAGAGGTACTGCACATATTTACAGAAAGATTAGAAAGGTCTGTCTCTAGCATGTGTGCCATGATGCCTCAAACCTTTATGCTGATTTTATATCCATGGAAAGAATGGTTAGCTACATGGAGCATTAGTTATGGCAAGCAACCAAGTGCTTACTGAACCTCTACAATGATATACACACTGATGGAAGATTGACATAAACCACATATTAGCCATTCAGTACTTCAAAAAATGCAGAAAATTAGAGTTCAGTGCATGGCTGGCAGTAAGAGAGGGTAGGCCATGAGAAGGAAGATGGATCAAGTGTATGAGGAAATCGGTGATGAGCAGCCTTTTTCTATCTCTTCTGAAGGCACAGAACTAGCAGGTTTAGGAGTAGCAGCAAAAGTTAAATAAGGCATTTTTGGTGAAGAATACAATTCACTTGAGGGCTTAATAATGTTACATTTTCACATTTCTGATCTATTTCTATTTAAAATCTCAATTGACTGTCGTCTCCATTTTTGTCTGTCACCTATCAAGTGGGCTTTTGACTTGTGAAGAATGGTAGGTCATAGGTTAAAGGTGAATGAAATGCATCAATGAGGAGGATGGATTGTTGACTGTGGGATTATTTGTGTTGGGGCTAAGGAGAGAGAGCACAATGGGTTCAGAACCAGTTTAGCAGGTAACTGTTTTATCACAAAATAACTAAAATATGCCTGAAACATACACAGCATCCATGATGACTTTGCATGTAGCTACTGATGCCTTTGCCACATCTTATTCTCTCTCCTCTTCATCCACATTCTCTTTCTCTTATTGTTAATTCCCTTTCTCCAATGACGCAGAATGTGCATCAATTTTCTCTTCTTATAAATTCAATTCTCATGGTTGTATAAGACACAGTGAACCACTGCCATTCTGGGAACCTTGAATCATGCAAATGAAACATGCATTTCTAACAGCGTCAACTGATCCTGTGCAGATTCAGCTGAATTGTGAATCTGGGGGCTCTCTCATTCTAACTAGTCTTATCAACAGTGCAGTACACATAACTGTTGCCAAACATGGGAATGGCCACCTGCAGAATCACTAGAGGGCAAGGTAGGATGTGACAAAGATCACCAGAATATCGCTGCAAGGATTTGAAAGTGAAGAAATTAAGGGCTGAGGTGACCTTGACATCCACTGGAAATACATCCTTATTTAAATAAAGAGAGGTTTTTTTTCTGAAAGGCCATACATGTCAGCAATCACCTGATGGGAAGCACTGAGCCCCCTGATTCAGTGGTATGCTATCATGCCCAAGAAGTAATTCTTCTATATGTATTTCTTAAGTTCTGTTGAAGGTGTTGCCTTCTGCGAGCTGGAGCTCTTTGCTCATCCCTTCAGTTGGCTGGATGACTGACTTGCAATGCAGAATGATGCTAGCAGTGTGGGCTCAATTCCTGTACTGAATGAGGTCACCATGAAGGCCCTGTCTCCTGAGGTGTGGTGACCCTCAGGTCAAAGAACCACCATTTGTCTCTCTCTAATGAGAAAGTAGGACTACAGTGACTTTACTTTTACCTCTTTACAGTACCAGACGTTTGAGGAGACGATTACTGTTGGTCTCGCTGGTATTGCTCATCTATGTCCAAGATGGCTCTGCATTAATGACTCTCATTCTAGTTGGAAAGCTGACAGCTGGGCAGTTCAGATCAAAGGAAACAACTCCAAGTTAATAGAAATGATCTGCAAAGTTCTGGAAATCACTTTCCAATCAGTGAGAAAGAGCAGGCCCTCTGAACAAAAGCCTCAGCAAGGAAGCTACTGTGAGAACTTAGTATTTAAATCATTTTGTTTTTGGCAATTTCTAAGCCCAATCAACCCCTCATCCCACTTGAATTGTTTTCCTTGGTGAGGTCCAGAAAGCCTGGGAAATTCATGTGCACAAAGTTAAATTCAGATCCTGTTTTAATAGAGAAACAAACCAGCTTTTGCGTTTTTAAACTCTCCTTTACCATAGAAGTTTCCCCAAATGCTGAAGAATGTGACAGGTTAAAAGTGGCCCATGCCAACGTCCTAATATGATGACAGTCCCTATTATTTTCACTTCCTGCCTGCACAGAAAGACACCCAGTAACAAGCTAAAATTTCCACATTGTTACAGTCCTGAAATCCAATACTACACAAGTCAACATAAAACTTCTCTCTTTTTATTCATTCACAGAATGCTAGGTCACTCCAAGGTCAGCGATTATTGCCAATCCCTAATTAACCAGGAGAAGGGGCGGTGAGATGCTTTCTTGACTTGCTGCAGTCCTTGAGAGGTGGGGGCATCTACAGTACTGTTTTGTAGGGAGTTCTAAAGTTTTTTCCCAGCGAGGCAGGAGCACAGCACAGCAGAGTGAACCTCGTGGTGATCAGTGACAGGAGCTATTGGATAAGTACCTAAGGAGCACTGTCAGTCAGAGTAGGACTGAGGACAGTCAGAGCAGGGACTGAGGACAGTCAGAGCAGGGACTGAGGACAGCCAGAGTGGGACTGAGGACAGTCAGCGTGGGACTGAGGACAGCCAGAGCAGGGACTGAGGACAGTCAGAGTGGGACTGAGGACAGTCAGAGTGGGACTGAGGACAGTCAGAGCAGGGACTGAGGACAGTCAGAGTTGGACTGAGGACAG